TTCAAATTCAAATTTGCAAAAATTTTGCAATACTCGAATTCGCATCTCTTCGATGCAAAAGCAAAACGCAAGCGCAAGAATGTAAGTATACCTGCATACATACATACATAGTCGTGTGCGTACGTTGTACACGTGTAGCACGCTTGCTACCCCAGCTGAAATGCATTGAAATTCAAGATTATGCGTATAGCAGCAGTACGATTGCCAAGCATATGAAATAGCTGCCGCTCAGCCAGACATTTAATTGATCACACACACACACACACACACAAACACATGCTCGTTTTAACAAGCATTGCAATGTGGTTACAAATTGCATTGAACGCAACGACGAATGCTTGCATTCAATATGCCAATCGTGATCGCCCGCTCCTCTACGCTATCGCCACTTCAACCGGCTACGCGTATTTTCAGTTACAGTAACAAGCAAAGCCGCACCACCGACAACATCATAGAGCCAACGATAGAGCCGCTTTATGTGTGCTCCTGTCGCCGCAATGCCCAAAGTTTCCTCAGCGTCATATATATATATGTACATACATAGGCCTCATTGCTGTCATTCTCCATAATTAATGTTACACAGTAGCAATGCTTGTGCCATAGCTTTGGGCTTCAGGCTGCATGCCACCCAGTAATCGCAATGCCAACCAGTTGGGGCGCTTACCACTGGTTTCATCGTCAGCGCTGTATTTAATGCTACATTTACAACAACTTGAATGGTGGTGTATTAACGACAACAGCACACGGCACAGGTACGGCGCATAGTGGTTTTCAAGGGGAGGTACATAAGTCAATTTTTTATAGGTATTCAGATTTTTGTTTTTTAGTTACTCTATAGGAACGCTAAAATGACAAATAAAAATCGCCGAGGACCGTTTTTCTAGATCAAGTCATTTTCCCACGATATTTTCCTTTTAAGTTTTAAATTTAATTAAGTGTGAAAAAAAATTCAAATTTTCCATGGAAAATGTTACTCACATGCCATGTACGAGTATGCGTATGAGTAACATCCTTTCCTGCTTTCGTTTCATTCGAAAAAATCATTACGCTTTTTCATTTATTTTTCTTTTTATTAGTTACTCGCCGATTTTCTTCGTCAGCAGCTTACTTTTTGTAACAGATCAGGCTTTAATACAAATAAAAATGATTTACGAAAAATCTTTTGAGATTTTAATATTTTCCTTGTTAAAATTACAAATGAAAATATCTTGGAAAACTGATCTGATCTAGAAAAAAAAAAAAGAATACAGATTCGAAATGTACGACTGAAAGTTAAGAAGTTTAAGTTAAATTCCGTTCCAAAACTTGCGGTTTTCCCTGCAGTGTTATTACATGTTGGATGGTTCCGTGCGCAGAAGTTCACGGCGTAGAAGCCAGAAGTGTTTCTTTTACGTGCGGTTCAAATCGTAGCTCACAACGTCCTGAAATTTATTTCTACGTATTCCATCAATAATCCGTAAAATCCCTTATTTTGATGAAGACCACATGTGCTTAGGATTTGAGGCTATGTACCTTGAATATTCGGGCCCTTAATGAGGACGGTGCCCCTGCCCGATTGGTTGATATGCTCGTAAGGATAAAAGCTGACATCACCGCCATACAAGAAATGTGATGGATGGGGCAAGGCGAGGTAAGCGTGAAGCCTTGCGAAGTCTACTACGGTTGCCACGTAAAGGAGAGCAAATTCGGTGTTGGATTAGTGGTGGATGGGATACTCCGTCGCTCATCTGCGCCCATTCCCCGCGGGAAGGGAAGGACGAGGCGTCCATGGATTTTTTCTATGCACTTGGGGCCCACATAAGAGCGCTGCCCCCGAGGCGTTATCAAAATCGTGTTTGCCGATTTTAATGCCAAGGTGAGCAAGGAAGGGACCTTTGGCGCCACCATCGGGGAAATCAGCCTCCACGTCGAAACTTCCGACAACAGACTGAGGCTGATCGACTTCTCCGGGGCCCGAAACATCGCAGTATGCAGTACCTGGTTCAAGCATAAAAAGATCTATCAAGCTACGTGGCAGTCTCCAGATCGAAAAACAAGAAACCAAATCGATCGTGTTATAATAGACGGAAGGCATGCTTCAAGCGTTTTAGACGTACGTACACTCCGAGGGCCAAACATCGAATCGGACCACTATCTTGCTACAGCCAAGATACGCACCCGCCTCTGTGCAGCAAAGCTTACCGTCGAAAAGTTGCAGTCCCAACAGAGGGAAAATTTATTCGCCAATCGACTCGCACACCTGGTCTCTGAGATCACTCTTCAACACCCCGTTATACGCGAGCAGTGTATTAAGTACAGTTACCGAAGAAGTAGTAGAATTTTAGCAAGACCGATAGAAGAACTGGTACAATGAGGAGTGTCAAAAAGCTGCAGAAAAAAGAAATGCACGCTGCGATCGGGCGCAACGCGAGCCATGTGGGGCCGTGGGGCATTTCTGTTTATTGAACTAATTTTCATTAAAAAAGAAACCTAATTATACGTTTTACAATATACGTTAACTGACAACATTATGTCTTAGCATTGATGTTATATATCTTCCAGCTGTGGTAAACTGCGTTTTTATCGGGTTTATGTATTTTAAGGCTTTTTTGAGGTTAGGTTTGCATGTTTTGGTATTCGTTGAAACCGAGTCCGCCCATTTTTTTTTTGTACGCACTTAAATTATTATTACAAACATGTGACCTAAATTTCAAAGTCAAACATCCATCGACGCGCTTTTTATGGCGTTTTTGAGGTTAGGATTGTATTGGAGGTATGCTTTAAAATAAATCAATTAATCCCTTTTTTTTCAAAAAATATATGCGGCTGTACCACTGTGCTTCGCCAAAATGTAATAAATATTGTGTGCGGCCTACTAAAGAACTATTTATATACTACTTACATATTTCGAGATTATCGCTGAATGTAGTACATATAGCTCAGCTGCCAGGCCGCCAGCTCCAGCAGCTTGATTGTTTATCAGCGTGCGAATAATATTCGGACCTCGTCACAATCACGCAATGGGACATCGATTCCATAATAATCGACTGGGAACTCGAGCCCATCTCCTCCACTGTTCTCAGTGCCGCTAATATTTAGTAATGTGGGAAAGTGTTCCCTCGATAATTTAAGTACCTCCTACACATCGCTTACTACATCGCCGTGATGGAAACTTTCCATAAATCACTTTACTTTGCGATAAATTAAGTAAAATACCGCCGTATTGCAAAAGGTGGATCGAAGCGCTCCACACTAGTTTGAGAAGCCGCAACATCTTTGGGTGGATTTTAGAGATACAGATCTGCTTCGATTTCCTCCTGGGTTACATCGCATTAACGATGTTACTGTCAAAGCAAGCGTCCGCGGCGGCGAGCCAATTTAATGGTGTCAAGGTGTACACACATATAGTGTATATGTATGCGATGTAGGTGGTGGTTAATTTCACCCACTTGATGTTGGAAAGTACGCCACCCATGTGACAGGCAACACAAATTACGTGTGGAATTCTCACAACTAGCAGGTGCTAAAGATTTTGTGTAGCCAACATACAAACTTGAATGTCAAGTTGTCAATTAAGTTTGCGTTTCAATGCACACGCGGATTACTGATTAAAGCGAGGTTTATACAGAAATGGTGAACAGATAAACGTTTCTTTTTTTTTTTTGTTGCAACGGTGAAATGAAAATACTGCGAAGGATTTTTAGTTTCATTAAGGCACCCGTTTTTGAGAAATTCGTCAGTGAAAAGCATCCGCATCTTCTTTATTTTTGAGCTAAACTTGATGTCAATAAGCAGTAAAACTTTAAGGCAAGTATAAGACTTGCGAAGCGCAGCATTGAAAACGTTTGTGTGAACTAGGTATAACCATCAATTTTTTGTTCATTCACTCTACTCCTCTATAACCAAAAATTTTCAGTAGAACACCCTAATAAATCCACAGCACAACACTCGTTTCATTTAATGCCTGCAATTAGTATGAGTAAGCACATCAGCATCAGCCAATTTATGTTTCCATCAGCAGCAGCTGTGAATGCAATTAATTTTGTATACTGAGTGCTATATTTAATAGTTGGACTGCCATTACATTTTCACAGGAATTTTAACAAACTCATAATTTTATTATTTGCAATAGAAAATCGCAATAAATCCAAATTCGTGAAAATAACAAACGGGCCTGAAAACAATTACAACAACAGCATCAGAACACAAATTAAAGCAGCAAAACAAATTTAAAAAATTTTCGGAAAAACAAACCCAA